GTGAAGCTAAACAAACCTGTGACAAGACACAATGCTATAAATAATCTGTTCCCAAATGGGAAGTTTAATTTGTATTTTAATGTTAGAGGGAAAATGACTGAACCCTCTGATAATACTTTTTAAAATACAGCCAAACAGAAAAAACTCTTTGGGGCCTCCAGTCACTTTCAGGTAGACATTTAGCCTTACAGTCTAACTTACTTATGCTTCATATCCTCCCACCCTACCGTCTATAAAAACAGAATGCTGAGTTTAGAATAAAGGAAATTGAGAATATGTACATAATAATGCCCTACAGAATTTATTCTCAGCAGTGAAGTTTCCCTGAGCTTCATTTCTCTGATACAGAACAATTCTGAAGTGTCCCTGTCATAGTATAGTAAAAATAAATGCATGCTCATATATGCACTCTGTTTTTGCTTTAGTGGTGTGATATTGTATTTCAATACCAATGAAATATGATTTACAAAGAGGTCTTAACTTTGGTTGTTTAAGACTTAAGTATTTTCAAAATAGTCAATGAAAAAAATCCCTAAAATAATTTTCTTTGCACAGAACTCAAGATTTCTTGGTATGGACTTCCACTTATAATAATAAACTCTGCATCATTCTCTTTTTTTCTGCTTTGAGCTTGGATGTGATTCAGCATGACATAAAACTCCAGGTTTACATCTATGCAGCCTCTCAGTCATACACAGTAGAGAAACTATCAGGAATCACACTTTCATTCCTGGTTCAGGGTTTTGTTTCTTTACCTGATCAGGACGTGGGCAATACAGACATTTATCGAACCGACCAGGCCTCAAAAGAGCTGGATCAATCAAATCTGGACGACTGGTGGCCGCAAGTACATAAACCCCTTAGAAAAAGGAAGAATTTTATTAACACCCCTGATTTTTTCTTCTTCAAAGAGGGAATAACAACTAAATCATTACCTTCTAAACCTTCTACTCCATCTAACTGAGTCAGCAGCTGATTAACAACTCGGTCAGTTACTCCAGTGTTATCATGACCTCGGCGAGGAGCAAGGGAGTCAAATTCATCAAAGAACAGAATGCAAGGCTTGGCTGCCTGTGCTCTGCAATGCAACACAATTCAGATCAAAAGAATGAAGTGAACCTGCCAAAACTGAACATGCGATATCAGCAAGTCTTGCTATTTCACAGCTCTCTGACATATAACACTTGGCCTGGTTTGTTCATGTTAATCTCTAGTAGATCCAAATAGCTATTTTTAGCACTGATCATGAAAACAATCACCAACACCACAAATCCCTATCAGAAGCCAACCTGTTAAACACATCTCGAACCGCTTGTTCACTTGCTCCAATGTATTTGTTAAGGAGTTCTGGTCCCTGCAAAAAAAAAGATGAAATGAGCTCTTAACAAATCAAACTGTTTGATTTATATTTATACAGTAGTGTAAGAAGCCAAAGGTTACAGCATATCATAACCAAAAGAAGTACCACTTATGCCATTGCCACAATAGGACTTTTTGAACATGGCCAACAAGTACTTTCTAGAAGGGGAAAATACACAATGGGCCAATGTGGTCTATCACTGATAAAGGATTCAGTTGTATTCTGAACAGGAAACTGGCTCTGGCAGCTTGTTCATCTAATCTACTGAAACCATGTTGAGACTCCCTATTAATAAAGTGCACAGGTGGACCGTTTATTCCCCAAAAAGTGAGAAGACTAGTAGGAGGTAGGCCAGTGAAGGGGAAACTAATGACAAAATGTACGGAGACAATTGGTTCCAATTGCCATATAAAATTAAGACAAATATTTAAACATTTTTCTATGATTGCTGTAAGGGATCAGTTTGAATTTGGAATTTATCATATTGAACTTTATTCTTTCCATAGAATCATAGAGTTGGAAGGGAGCTCCAGGGTCATCTAGTCTAATCCCATGTACAATGCAGGAAATTCACAAATACCTTCCCCATGCACCCCTGCCTACTTAGTCTGATCATAATTGAGAGATGATGAGACAGAAGATACACACAACTACCATTGAAGCTTATTCAAGTTTAAAATGCAGTTTGAAGAGTCTGACAAGAGAGTTCTGAAAGAAAGCTTATAGCACAGACATTTTTTAATTTAACTGGATACTGGCCTATATAATGCATCTATTAGCACTTTCAGTTACTACAACAAACTCTGAAAAATCGCAGTCTGTTACCTTGATGCTGATAAAATTCATTCCACTCTCTCGAGCAACTACTCCTGCTAATAAAGTTTTTCCTGTTCCTGGAGCCCCATATAATAAGATTCCTGCTGTGTGTGGAATGGGCAGATTTGCAAATAATTCTGGATACTGAAAATATACAAAGTCATCTGCTTTCAAACACATATATTTTCTTGATAAAACATAACACAGAAGTACTCACACTATTGTTAATCTTTTGTAAAGTTGAGTTTATTTACCTCATTTATACCCCATTTTTCTCTCCAATGAAGACCCTAAGCAGCTTCCTCACCTCTATTGTACCTCCAGAAGCAACTCTGAGACGAGGTTAGGCCGAGAATGTGTGACTGGCCCAAGATCACCCAGAAAGCTTCCATAGCACATTTTTTTTTAATTTACACCGGGGTATCTAACCACTACACAGGGGCCCAGTGTATGCCATTACTATTGCTTATCAGATGTCTCATCCTATTGACTGTGCAATCCACCCTGAGTGAGAAAAGGAAGCTATAAATAATGTAAATAAAAACACTTAAGTTGCACCAATCAACTGCTGGCAAAAAAGCCACTCACGGGTGTAGATTTTCCCTATGTTCCCCTTCTCCCTGTAGTCCCTCTGATCTCTACAAAGGTCAAAGGACTCATGTGGACAAGGAGCCACTCATGAACACACATGAAGCTGCAAGGTCAATACTGTCTACTCAGACTGGTAGGGGCTCTCCAGGGTCTCAGATAGAGGTCTACCATATCACCTACTGCCTGGTCACTTTAACTGGAGATGCTGGGGATTGAAACTGGAACCCGCTGCTTACAAAACAGAAGCTCTGAGACTGAAGTGAGGAGGAAGAAATCAGGCAAAACAGTTCCTCCTCCCTCTTCCACCCAGGCAGCATGGGGAAAATCCACGGCTTTAGCAAATTGATTGATATAACCCAGTATCATGATACAACCCAGATTCACTTCTGGCAGAATCCAGCCTGCAGTGCAGCCAGTCCTTTGGGTCTCCTTTAAAAGTTAAGTCCTTGATGCATCTCTAAAACTACACTTCTGAGGTATGACTAATGCATGTATGTATAAAGCTATAATTTTTATGAAATTGTTGCCATGCAGCCACCTCAGATGTCATTGTAAAAGACTCATAAATATGACTGCTTTGCTGAACTGTGGAGTGTGTCAAGGCAATGGTCCCCATATTCCTCTGGTAACTGGTGTTTGTGTACGTTTTCTGAAGAAAACATGCAAGTTGCAGTTTAGCCTGTTTGGGCATATGCACCAGAATACAGCCCAATAAAGGCCAACTGTCCAAGCAAATAGCCATCTATCGAACAAGTTATGTAGGTGAAGTTTCTAGCAGGTTAATCACCATGATGGGTGCCCCTGCTGCACTTCATGTTGGATGTAACATGGAAACAGGGCTTGTGTGTACAGAACTGATACTCGCAATACTCGCCCCATGAAACTGGAGGTTAAAAACCACAGGGAGTTGGTACACATGCACAGACCATTTACCCAATTATGTCCAGTACATGGATGAATTCCCTACTCCCATCATGCATTCATTAACTCTGCTCTCATTTTTCTCACAATTACAAAGAGTATCTCTACCTGTTTACAATAATGCAAGCTACTTTGTGACTTCTCCTGTCTCAATTTTCCATCATTGCTGCTGCTGCTTCTCAGTTCTACCTATAATCCCGAAGGATGACCTGAGATGTCTTAATGTGCTGCTGCTGCT